TAGCAGTTTCATTTGAAACGTTATCATTCTCACATATAAAAATAGCAAATTGCATTAAATTTTATATAAGACATTTTACAGCTTCTTATATAGGAACAGCTATAAGCAGCTTCCACAACACATACTACAGCAAACAGCTTTGAGTAAACTCTCTGGCAGTATCCCATTCACGGAGATCTAAGATACAGCCCATATCGACTTCATACTTAAAATATACCACAAGAAGTTGCAGGATTAAACAAAAAACAAGCAAATACTGCCCTCCAATTTGAAGGGTAAGTCCTGATATTCTTTATTGCTTCCAACTTGAGAAGTAAGGTAATTGATATTTTTCAAGTTCTTACGGTTTAACACTTGCCACAAAGCCTTGATTCTTATACTCCGGTTACTTACTGACTCTTGTACTCGTACATATTCTCACCAGAAAAAGGATGCTAGACAATTAGCAATGATTAAAGTCCCTTATATTTCTTTACTAAAACTTTGCTATTTTTACACAATTGTTAGCCTACGTTAGACCTGTTCTAAGTTCTAAATTGAAATATAGAGACGTTTCTGCATCTAATGTGTCATAGCTTACCCATGAAATATAAAAACAGTTATAAATGTGCTGGGCACGTTTTTAACAAATAGATTTCTGGGTCTTGGAATATAAACATTGACTTGCTGGTTGACTGCATATTTCAGCATTAGAATGTATTAATAGAGGAAGTTTCAAAAGTCAATCCTCCTCTTTCTTTATGAATTTCCAAAAGAGGAAAATAACCATACAAATAGGTGAATGCTGTCTCATTTCATATGTAAATTTTAGATTTTACAGTAAAATAAAGATATTATGTCAGTCTAGTTATGGCAAGTAAATAAGTTCACTGTTAGTTAAGATTTGAAATTCAATGTATAGTTTGTAAACTATAGGATATTTTGTTTTTTTGGGGGAGGGAATATCACTAATTCTACTACAAAGAAAACAAATGTAAAGAAATCAAATATACCAAAGTAGTCTATAACCCTTAAGAGAATATTTTATGATTTAAATTCTTGTATTTTCCTATTATTTAATTATCTGAAATCATATTCAAAGAACTCATGAAAGCATGTCATTATTATCACTATTCAAAGTAACATGAAATAAAAATAGATTCACTGCTCAGGATTAGAAATATTTCTTCTTCCTTAAAAGGAAGAAGTTTATTAGGAAATTAAATACAATAAAAGAGTCTACTTTCTCTAGATAGTATATATTATCTGGCCTAGGATACTATCTATAAACAATAATTTATTAATACGAGTAAACTACTTTGTCATTTTCCTATTCCTACCTAGTAATGTAGACAGAGAAATATTAACCTGTAAGTTCTTTATGGCTTGTTTTGTGTCTCAGAGAAATTATACAATATCCAAAGGCCCAAAATAAAACAACTTTTCAGAGAATTTAAATGACTAAACATTGACTATGTAGAATAAAAAAAAAGAAAGCATTATGGAATGTCAAGGGAAATTTAAAAAATTATTTTCAAAGCTTGGGAAAATAGTCACAGAATCCTACTAGTTCATTGATCATATCACAGATTTTATGTAGCTAAGTAATTAGTGTCAATTTTAGGTATATATATCTTCCTTTCTCCCTTGGCTAATTTCATCCATTGCCTAAGATAATGTCTGTCACATAGTAGGCATTTAATAATTTAGTCATTTTGAATGATTATATGAAATCGAAGAAATTAATCTGAAAATAAAGTCTCCTTGACTGCTTTTGTTGATTTGACATAGAGTTAGGCTACTTCAATTTGCTAATCAGAGACAAACGATGATGAAGAACAGCTACACAATTTCATTGAGATGCATGCTTTCCACAGAAAACTCCATCGCACATAAAACTGCATCCCACATCTATCACACAAAACAGTGTTTCACGCACACACCAATTCTCCGTTGTTTTTTTTTTTTTTTTTGCAATTGTATGTGTTAATGAATTTGCCAAAGAAGTTGCATTATATACAACAAACCTTCAGTTTAAATAAAGGATAAGCTTCCTGTTAACAACTTAGTTTGAAATGTTAACAACCCTGAGGCTGTTAACATAACAACTGGCCATTAATGTGGTAATGACCAATTTAAGAGGAAATTGTACTCTGAGAAATGAATATATTGGCAATCAGGACCAGGGTTTATATTTGAAAGAGAAGGATGTATTTTTTAATAAGTTAACTAATACTGAAAGTTTGAGTCCATCAGAAATTAATGAAAAGTTATAGCACAACAAGCAATATGCCCTTTTAGAGATAGGGAAGGATTTATGATATGAAACCGTTTTGATAAACTGCCTTCAAGGAAACACTTGAGTCTATCAAGTATCAGTTTAATTTTTTTTTTTTTTTTACTACTGTAAAGAAGAGTGAAATGAAACAAGTCTAAGGTCCTGCTAGCGACCGTACTGACAACTACTCAGTTTCACTCACAATATAGATATTTCATTGGCAAATTTATATTACAGTTGATAAAAATCCAGATATTTCAAACAACTTCCTTCAAATTTTACATAACTTTTTTTCTTTTCTGTTTGTTAGTTTATTGAAACACCTTAATCTTCTCCATACAACATAAACTCTTCATTTGGAAGTATAACACAAATCTACTCAAAATATTGACACTGGAAACAAATGAAAAGGTCAAATGGAGTCAACAAGATGTGACTCTCCGTTAGCACAGATAAAGTAAAACACTAAAAGCAGTATTAAACCACCAAAAGCAAATACAAATGCTTGATGTGGAGATGAGGCTCTCCTGCACAATGAGCAGAGGAGAAATTTTTATTTCAAAGAGAAAAGTTCAAAGCCTGGAGAGTTCTAAAGGAATTTGTGTTATACGTTAATTCTGATTAGTTGTGCCACCAAAATGAGGCAGATCTTGCTGTGGAGAGTCATTTTCCCATGGTTGGCACCTTGCATGGGTTTGGGGCCATCAGGAAACAGCCGTGGTAACAGGTAGACATCATTAGTCAGGAGGCCGTCAGACCAGGCAGTGTCAGGGGAGAAGAACAGACTCTGCTAACCAGTACTGGATTCACCCTCTTGTAGCGACCATTAATCAAAGCATATATTTTTCTATTTCCAAATCGAATCTGACTGAAAGTAACTGAATCATATACCACAAGGGAGCAAATTCCCTAGAAACACCTCCCCACATGGCCAAGATGGTTAAGGAGTTACTGCTGATTGATACATTTTGTGTCAAAAGGGGGAAAAAAATCTCAAAATAAATCGCTTAATGTCAGACTAGAAAAATGATTAATTGTATCAAATATGAAAATCCAAATGATCCCATATATCATTTCTCTAATTTGATAGAGTCTACTTTATTAATATAAGTAATTTGCTGCTGAAACAAGTCACCAAGTTCCCTGAAAAGCTAAATAATTTTTCTTCCACACAAGTTCTGGGTTGAGCACTAACTGCTGAGAAACAAGTTTAGTTGGCTTCATGGCTTCGTAACCAAGAACATCTGGATTGTCTTGAAACTATTGAGATGTTTAGCGTTTAGAAAGTGGCTATCATTTCCCCATAATGATAGAGGCTTTTATTTCATTATGATTCACGAAGCTATTGGCGAATCTGAGGCCATTTGACGCCCAGCCTGTGATGTTTTTCACAATGACCATTTCAAATGTCACAGGGGGAAGAGAAATACACACTTGTGAAAAGTTTTCAAAATTGTGCAATACATATACTATTACATCCTAGTTCAGGATTTAAAACTGACTTCCTCAGACAAATCCGAAACAGAAAAAAATAACCAAATAGCTTTAGAAGAAAAAAAAATCAGGTCCAATTATGAGGCAGTAGTTCAATCATTTCACATAGTATGTTTTTCTAGTTAAACTCTTTTAAAAACAAAGAGTTAAAATGTGCAGCCAAGAAATTGGCCCATTAACGTGTATCCGGCTTGGCCTGCAGTGTAATAGAAAACATGTAGGCCGATTTCTACCAAATATATCTTTGCCATTCACTGGCAATATTAATACAGTCAGCGGAATAACGGATTGGGAAATACAAGTAGCCAGGCAAGCCAAATTGAAGCAGTTTCGATTTGGGGTTTCCTTGCCTCTTCCTTAAGCATTAATTTGAGGAAGACACACTAGGCAACACTTTGAAGGCTGACAATCGAACATCTTTCCGGAATAGAAGCTGTAAGTGAGGAAATCAAACAAACAAAAACACACTTACAAAAGTATTTTAAAAGGCATCCAGCCATCACTGGTGTGCAAAGGTAATTCCTACCTCAGATAGTCTCTGCGACAAAGGATAAGATTAGCTTTAGTGTACAGGGTGGAGCCCACCTCTCCCAAACGACAGTCACAGCAAGCACACTTCAGGCAGTCTTCATGCCAGTATTTGTCCAGTGCCTTTAGAAGATACCGGTCCTTGATCTTTCGGTTGCAGCCAGCACAACCTTTCGGCTTGGTGTCTGGCTGGACTGAGAGCATTTGTATACCTAGAGAAAGACAAAAACCAGCGAGCTGAGGCTATCAGGCTGGACAGAGATGTCAAAAGACCTCAAACAAGTTAAAACACTCCCTCCTCCTGCCTTTTCCAGAAGTGCTGCATTTTCTTTTTTTTTAGGGTGGTACTAAAATCACACTAAATTTTGGAAACAGAAAAATCTCAGCCTCTACACAGTCCTGATGAAATCATTGAGAAAACCATACATCTCAAGTGGTGATAAGGCTTTCATTTCATCCATGGAGTGAGTTGTGCGAAGTTACAGAACATGTAGCTATTTTACAGTGTCCCCATTGACTACGTAGGGGGCAGTTCCTTGAGGAAGAAAATGTGAGTAAAGGACTAACGACTGGAAAAGAAAGCTACGAGACCAACTAATCCAGGTACGTTCGGTAGGAGTCAAAAATGAATTTTGCTGAACTGGTTGAAAATTTCACTTCCTATGTGTTGGATGACAGAAAGAAAGTGTACCCTGTGTGGGATTACACACATCTTAGCAGGAGAGATCTCTGTAGTTAAGTACATTATAGACACCCGAAAAGCTCACCAATCCCATCTTGCTTGTTTGCATCCGCATACTTCCTTCCTGTCCTCGTCATTTCACAATATTCACAGTGCCCATATTAAAGTCAGCTACTTAGGTATATACTATATGCGCTTATGTAAAACTGATGTATAGGATTACACAATTCACTACCCTGAACATGTACTTATTTACCTTATGGGGAAAACAGAAACAATAGTAAAACTATACAATCATATATAAATAAAGATATACCTACTACCCTAGACGGGGGCATGTGTGTATTTTAAAGGTATATTTCCATCCTAAGTAAGGAATCTAGTGGGTTCTAAGTTGTTACAACTTGATTAAGATCTTCTGGATGAATAGACATTCGCCTCTGCATTTCTTATTTCTTCGGTGTCAAACACCCAGCTTTAGAAAAAACTGGACTAACTCTTCAAAGCTTTGCAGTTATCGGGTCACTCATAAAATGCTGCAGACCAACCATTCCAGATTCCCTCATTTTATGAGTCATGATACAAAGCCCCAAAAGATGTTGAGGGACTCACTGAAGGCTGAAGGACAGTTAAACTGGAGACTTGCGACCAAGTGGCCTTCTTACAGACCAGAGCTCTCAGTCATCCTATACTCCTAGGCAGAAAGTTTTCAACATGGTTGGAGGAAGACACAAAACACCACTGGGCATGCATTTGAAAGAGTTTCAAGAAAAGAAATGCCAAGCTATCATCTTCTGCATTTCTATTCATTTCTCTTCTCTAAAATAGCTAAACTTCCTCCAGTTTCCTCGAATATCTATGTTGAAGGCTTTACCCCTGTTACCTGCACAATCTTTAAAAATCACACTGATAGGAGACATCAAGGCATCCACACAACTGAGTCACTTTCCTAACTACCAGTGATACATACATTTCACATGCTAGTGTTCTGGCGCTGAACTTTCATGAGAGAACTGCTAGTCTGGCAGAGCAGTGGAGCAGGGAAGAGCCGGGAAGGAAGCAGGGTGGCTGCTCTTTCACATACTATGCACAGCCATGGTCGTCGGGGCTGCAGACTGGCAGCTGGATTTGTACAGAAGAGCAGGTGGTATCCCTGTAGCCCGCTTTCTGTTCCTTTTCTTTGAAGGAGCTGAGGGCCTAGTGTAGATTAATCATAACCCTTGATAGCTCTGCTAAATCTCACTCTCTAGAACTTCTAACAAATGAAGTTTCTTTGATCAGAACTAGTTATCCTCTTCTACCAAGGCTCCACAAGGAACGAATCCCATTAATTATAGTACAGAACAGACCCAAGTGCCTCTTAGCCACAAACCTGGGGAGGGATTTGGATGTACTAAATGACATTCTGGATTTCATTCTGAAAACATCCAGAGATATACTTCAGGGTAGCCTTTCTAATTACCTAATGTGTAAGAGTATATTTATTTTTTCAAATCACAGAGCCCAAAGATAAAATGTTTAAAAATGAAACCCTTCTTAGTAATCACTAAGCTCTATTTCCCATAGCTGTATCACTGCCATCATGTGTAGAAGGTCAGCTGTCATTATTCAAAATGCCTTGCCACCAAGACGGGGCAGCCACGTTTGGCACAAGTCACACTACCCTGCTTGTCTTCACAAAATGTTTTTGTTGTGTTGACATTTTAATTCAACACTCAGAGGCCAATTAATATTTGAAACTCTTACATTCTGTCTGGCCTTGGGCATAAAAGGAGTTTGATATTTCACACTCTCTCCCCGCACCTTCTTTGGGAGAACATCATTACATTTCTCTTAAAAATGGTTATCTTTTTCATCCTATGCAAGTTAACAATTGTAGCAAAAGCACTATTTGGTAGTCCCCGTGTTGCCATGTACCTAAAAGGCATAAAGCAGGCAGCAGCAGCCTCCCCTCGTCACCCAGAACACGTCTGGCAGAGTTATGTGTTCGGAGCGGAGAAACATTTCACAAGTTGCTCATAGCACATCAGGACTTATAACTAGTTTTAGATTGGCACGTAAATTGTTCAGAGGGAAATTCTTATTGCCTCTGAGACCCTGCCATTCTGAGTTATTTGACAGTTTAAGGGAAATCATAATTAAAAAAAAGACATAAATAATAGCCTGTGCAGTGTGGTGTGCAGAAATAAGTAGAACCATTTCATTTAAACTCTGGTGAGCTTTTAATTGCCTGGATTGCATTGTGAGGCGGCCTAACGGTTGATTGCCTCCATTATGTTCCCTTGTTCTGTGCCGTTCATCCGCACAGTCTCAGCTTCAGTAGTTAACACAACAAAGTAACCACAACTCCACAACACACAGGGGTTTAAAAAAATACTACTAATAATGAAAGATCTGCAGCACTTAGACACAGTCTTTTATATTTTTGGACTAACTACACAGAGTGAATGGAAAACATTTTGTCCCTGTCGGAAAATTCACAGAGACCAATTTTGGAGAAGGAACAGGAAGAGGGAATACATAAAGGGGGTTGGAAGAGATGAGGTGCCTCAGAAAGATGCTAAAATGGGAATGCAGGTTCTGCAGCTGGGAGCAGTGACACAGATGAAAAGAATTTGGCCAACACGGCCATGCGATTGCCAAAAGGTACCAAACAAAAGATCTTCTCTCCTCCTGCCCATCTTCATCCTCTCCCCAGCCCCCAACTCGGATTGGAAAACTGGATTGGGCCTAAAAGCTTGTCTCTCTCTGTTCACTGGCCCAGAGCATCCCTACAGGCTGCAGCCCCCTAAGGAACAACAATGCAAATAGATGTCCCCAGATCTCAGGCACAGGAGCTGCTTAACTCTGTTCTGCCCCTTCAACTCCCAGCCCCCCTCCCGGCCTGTCCCCCCTCCCCTTTTTGAGCAATGGAGCAGGGAACCAATTTGATTCCCTTTTTCTCCAATGCAGCTGCAAGGCTCAGAGATACTGACATTTTTCCACTCTTATCAGTTTAATTACAGTTACCATGGCAGCAAAGTGCTAGTGCTTGGCAAAGGCCAACAAGAGATTTGCAAGACTGAGTTCAATTTTGATGCAGCTCACATGCAAAATAAAAAAAAAAAAATAAGAAGAAACATACATATACTCTAACAAAGAATCCCTTGCGGAGTTTATGCTCCAGCCTTTTGTGGCTGTGTCTTTGCAGCCACACAGGGATGGTTCCCAAAGAATGTAGCAGTATTTGTTGCACCTAGCAAGATTAATTGGTTTAAGCAGCAGTCTTTCAAAGCAGTTACAACAATAATATTTCGGATCTCTCAGAAAGACACAAAAGCAGCGGAAGAGCAGAAGGCATTTGAGCAGCCTAGAGCGCAGAGCGCTGGCAAAGTGCATCTATGATAGATTGTAACCTTACCAAAACTTTTCTCCTTTTTCTGCATGAGTTGACTTAGGCGTGCCTGAGTTGCAGCAGCTTCTCATTGAGCACCCAGCCCAAAGGTAGGAAGAAGTAGAAGGGGGTCTCCTCGCTGTGGCTCAAGTGTGGACCTGGTGCGCAGCCTACACCGCCGAGGACCGACTATTGTGAAGCCACTTTGGGAGTGAGTCGAACTGGCGGCCGGAGGTGGGGGAAGGGATGAGGGCGACCAGACAAGACAGGGAGCAGGGACGGAGCCCCCTCGCAGTGTGGCAGTTGTGCAAAATGATGGCGAATGACAAAGCCACATGCTTCCCTAACTCTGCCCGTAATCCGAAAATCCCAACGGCCCCTTTTAGCTTTCTGGTAACAAATGGATTTGATTAAACTGTCACATGCAGCGTTAGCATAGCATATCATGTTCAATATGAAAAAGATCATAAATCTGACTTGTATTTTCTAACAGCAATCTGGGTAGCCCCCGTAAACTGTGCTGCATCAGTTTGCATCCCAACCTATTAGGACATGAGGCACCTCATTCCTCGGAACCTCCTCCTCTGGCCACCCCCCCCCACCTCCCCCACCTCCCCATGTAGTCACTTTTCTATAGCAAAAAGAACAACATTTTGTTCCTATGGCTGGGTGGGAGACGCAGAAGAGCCTAGAACCAAAAGATCATCATTTGAACTGTTTGGGAGGGTTGAATTCCAGGCGGGGAGGGGTTGGGGGGGGGGGGGGTGTCCAAGAACCCATCCAGGATTGAATTCCCTTCCTACCAGTTGGGAGCAAACATGTCCTAATTCCAAACTCTCCCTGCCCCTCTCTCCGAGGGAGTCAGAGGTGTGGAAATGCTGCAGTTCATGGTGAACTTTGACTATTATCCACTCGAGTCGTACTTGAGACGTTCCGCGCCGCAGCCGCTCTCCCTCCTTCCATCCACATCTTCCGCCTGCATCTATTTCATGTCTCATCATAAAAATAATGAAGCCTCACATGATTTAAACAAAACCGTCTCAGTAGAGCTGCAGCCCGAGTGAAAGTTGCAGTGCGGAGCTGGGTTGCAGCGCCAGTTTATGCCTCATTAGGAGAGGCTGGGGAAGGAAAAAATACCCACATCCGCACACGCACGCGCGCACCCGCAGACACACACACCACAAATAAGCCGACGCGTGTGTACACAGTTGCTGCACTTACCTTCTCAATTAAGCGATACAGGGGGAGGCTGTTCAGTAAGCACACTGGCTGCTTTGTAGCGCTTCTCCTTGGGAAAGGTCAAAAAGAAGCATTGTTTGAAAAAAACGAGGGGGGAGGGAATCTCTATTTTTTTTTTTTTTTTAAGTTTAAAATAATGAGGTCCTCGAGGATCCGCCAAGTAATGGTGTTGACCGCATTTGAGCCACAGGTGTCCTCCTTTTGGGCAACTGCAGTCCGAGGCTGTCTCTCTCCGTCCTGGCTCAAGACAACTTACCCAGCAGCATGCGAGGAGCCGAGCTGAAGGAAGCCCCGGCTCTCAGCTGCAAAATGCAATCCCTTCCCAGCCAGACATAATACAGCCAAAGAAAAGGTCACTCAGTTATTACTGAGCCGGCGGAGCCCAGGCAGCGCTTGTCAAGACCACAGAGAAGCAGCTCCCTTCCGATTTAAGACTATTTACCTCTCGCCCCCACCCCTCCCCTCTTCTCTCCTTCCCTTCGCTCCCTCCCTCGCTGGCTCGCTCGCTCGCTCTCGTGTGCCTGTTCTGCTGCTCAGTCAAGTACAACCGCCCTCGGAAAGTGCAAAGCAGCCACGAGACAGATCGGGCTTTGTTGCTAATTTCCCAGGGTGAAA